GAGTATGTGTCTGATTTATTTCACTTAACATTATGGTCTCAAGGAGCATCCATTTTCCTAAAAATGACTCATTTATCCTTCTCTACTTTGTGGAAATGCCACATTTTCTTTATTAATTCATCTGTGGACAGGCTGCCTCCAAGATATTATGACTGTGACTTGTGCTGCTGTAAACACGGGTATGCATGGATCACTGTAATATGGCGTATTTAACTCTTTTGGGAAGATACCTAGAAGGGAAATAGCTGGGTCAAATGGAGTTTCTAGTTTTAATTTTTTGAGGAATGTCTACCTGTGGGGAAGGAGAAGAGAAGGGAAGGGTTCTCTTCCCTTACCAATAGTTGCCACACATATTACCGCTTGTATCTGATTGGCCAGTACTTTGTCACATGACTACATGCTGGGTAGCAAAGGCACTTGGAAAATGTAGTCTGTTTTCCTGATTTAAAGCTAAGACTTTAAGAGAGAACTGATAAGCATTAGAGGGAAAGGAGCAATCTCAGCAAAAAACAGATCCTCGGACTCAGTACTTCAAGGATCCAAATAGCTGTGTGATCATTGCTGCAGCTTATTAAAATGCTGTACCAGATTGAGGTTTATCAGATAGATGGAACCTGACCCCTTTCCCATCTCCACCCCCTCAGGCCTCCTCTACTCTATGCAGCAAATCTTGAAGGACAAAGCTTTAGCCAACAGGTAGGTGACAGAAGTCTCTTTGAAGAATACAGAGAAGTCTTGGAATTTCAAACCTGCCTTTGGCTTCTCCTCCTCCACCTCCTCCTTATTTTTTGGCTTCTTAAAAGCCAATGATAAGCCGGACGTGGTGACACATGCCTGTAATCCCAGCGAGACTGAGGCAGGAGTGAGTTCCAGGTCAGCCTCAACTACATAGTGAGACCCTGTCTCCAAAACCAGAAACAAACAAACAAGGTCAACGATAAACCAGTCCATAAGTTTATATTTTAATATACAACTAAAGCTACTTCCAGATGTCCTGCATTAAACAGGGCTTATCAGTCCATAGTATTCATAAGCCAAAATTAGCAGATCTCGCAAGCTTTCAGTACTCTACTAAGATATCTGGTACCTTTGTAGCTCCTAGAGGAGCTCCTCCTCTGTGCACTTGGATAGCTGGCTGGGACCCTTGAAGTGCTCAGTAAGGACACTTGGCCTCCATATCATCTTAAGTGGTTCCATTGTCTAATTGCTGCCATTCTTGCTTTTTAATTATAAATTGCTATGAGGTTAGCTTTATCATTACAGATTCAGTCTGTTGTGGGTTATTTAGCCACCAGGGTGCAGTACCTATTTGAATCCTATAATTTTTTATCGACTGATAGTCCTAAAGGTGTCATCTGTGGGCTACGTGTACAGTAATCTCTCGGGTGCTTCTTAAGATTGCAGATTCCTAGGCTCTTACCCCAACCTCCTGAATCAGATTCTCTGGGAGTGAACGCCAGAGTAAGTGTGTGCCAGTGAGAATCTGCACACGTCTTCAGGGTGTTTGCAGAGTGGTTCAAAAACACATCTCCCAGGCACTGCGAAAGTGGTGTATGTGTAATTCCCATTTCTGCTTCTGTGGGGATGGGTTGCATGGGATTTTATTCTACTTAGATATGTTGCAGGGAGCTACATTCTCATGCAAATTTGTAGATTGCTTCTTTTAAGAAGCTCAGAGCAGGTGATTGCTAACATCATTTCCTATTTTTTAGCTACTCATGGTTTGTTCACTCTGGGGTATGAGTAGGTGAGGAGTCTGTGGACTGGGCGGGGTCGGAAACCACTACCTAAGATGTCAGGACCTGCCGTGATGGGAGCATCATCTGGAGGAACTGTCAAAGAAAGAGCGTGGATGCTAAGACAAGCTGCTGAGCCCTCAAGGTCAAGGTTATGATGGCCGCTGTCCTGGGAAGGCCCGGAGGATTCAGGACTCCCGGCCCCCTGGGGTGGCCTCTTTCCATCCCCTCTCTGTGCACTGGGGGAGGAGCCTTTTGTCCTGTGCTCTCTGCTGTGACTGGAGCCCATTGTGTCCTGACTGTGCCCCTCACAGCCTCTTAGTGACGGCCCTGTTGTCCAAGGGGGGCCCGAGGCTGGTCCGGGCCTGTGCCCATGTATTATGCAGCAGGGCCAGACAAAGCTTCTGTGTGCAGAGCCCGAGAGTGGGGGCTGCCTCCCCACAGAGTCCTGTTTACCAGGCACTGGGAGGTGAGAGGGTGGCGTGTGGGTGCTGTGTACCGGATGTGGGCTTTTCAGTGGGGTGCTGAGAAGATTGAGGTGAGGGCATCGTGGGCACCGGCACAGGCCTCTCCGGCTGGTGAGGTCTCAGACCTCCCGGGTGCGAGTCTGCTCCACACGCTCCGTTTGGTCACTAACAGGGATGCTCTGGCCGTACCTGGCCATCCCCACGTGTCCTGAGGGCTTCAGGTACCCAGGTGACAAGACTCACACTGCCATCACCGACCAGAGGGGACAGAGGAGAGTCGTCCCTCTCCTTGGGGGGTGCAGCCGGGTGTCAGCCCTCTAGGGAGCCCCCAGCTCTGGGCTCTTGATGTTTGCTGCTTGACCAAGGCTGTGAGGGTACAGGATGAGCAGGACAGGGGAGGCTGCCAGCCAGACACTGCCCTTCTGTGCTAGGACAGCCCTGCTTGGGTGTCACTGCCTGAGGACGGGCCCTGCGGCCTGTGCTGTGAGGCAGGGTAATGAGGGGTGCAGTCTGGGGCTGTGGCAGATCAGAAATCTCACGAGCTGTTACAAAACGATACACCTGTCTCTTCCGCACCCACTGCCCCACCTTCTGTCTCACTTCCTGGCCCAGGTGTGTGCAGCTTGGTGGGGCTCTGTGAGCCTCCTCTCTTCTCAGACGATATCCAGCCTTACTTTTAGTCTTAGACTTCAGAGTTTGACTGTGACTCCAGCGCGAAAGCCAAGGTGTTTCCAAAGGGCCATGCTGCTCCCAGGGTCTCTGGCTGTGGCCTTTCTGCTTCACGAATCCCTGCAGGCAGCCGGGGTCCCGACTCAAACACCCCCCGCCGCAGATCCCCTGAGCGACGGGTGCATCTTGCAGGTCGTAGTTGGCTGATTCTGACAGGCGGGAGTGTGCGGTGGCCACAGCCCTGCAGGGAATCCCGGGCCTCGGTCCTCTCAGTGAGGCCTGGCCATCCCCGGGTCCCAGTCTGTCGGGGAGCCTGTCCTCACTGTGTTTGGTTCTGGAACCAAACTCACACAGTCAGACTAATCCCCACTGCATGCATCCTTTCAAATATGGGGTTTGGAAAGGATGTGGGGAAGGCAGGGCTGAGGAAGGCCGTGGGTGTGTGCATACTCGTGGGTGTGTGCATACTCGTGTGCGCGCGCATGGGGGCACATCCTCAGCCGACTGTGATCCCAGGTGACCGGTTCATCACCTACCAGGACAAAAGAGCTAGAGAGGTAAAGGCATTAAATCCCACCAATGGAAGGTCGTGGGAGTTTGGACTTGATTCTTTTACTGCCAGGACATTGCAGGTGTCAGAGTGTAAGACAGAGTGGTGATCAGTGTTCTGGTTTCTTTTGGAAGAAATCTCCGAGGATGTAATAAAGGATTTCTAGGAAAGGCAGAGAGAGGGAGGGACGCACACTCACTGACACTTGTGAGGAGTCCAGCTGGATCGTCGGAGTTGCCTTTCCCAGAGCTGTGACCCTGGTGACAGATGGGGCACAGGGCTCCAGGCGGTGAGAAAATGGCCTGGGCCGGGTTGGGACTGAGGGGCAGCTGTCACCCTCTACCCGAGAGCCTGTGGGGCTGGAACAGGCCACTGGCCCGGGGTGGTTGTGTGTGTGCGCGCATGTGTGTAGACGCGTGTGGGTGTGGGCGTCCACACTGAGTAAGCTCAGCTCCCAGAGTAGGGCCATGGACACCAGGCCTCTCCTCACTCTGCTCCCTCCTGGCAGGTGGACGACGCTGCCATGGCCACTCCCGTTTTATAGACGAAAGTAGAATCTTAAGAGCAGGTCCTGGGGAAGCAGGTGCCTCAGCTGAAGTCCCCACTGGATGCTTGGCATGCCTCGGGCTGGGGCCCGCTCCTGAGGGAGCCCTCAGGAGCTGCGCCTGAGCAGGGCGTTGACATCTGGGTCTCAAGCACCCGGATGGCCCAGCCCACGTGCAGTGCTGGATTGCTGTATTTTCCTGGCTCTGCTGCGAGGTGCTGGGGACGGCGGGACCCACAGTCAATCCCTGCCCTCCAGGGACCAAGGGAGGGCTGTGCATGTCTGACTTCTTTGGCCACAACTCCTAGCAAGAAAATCCTTGGGTGATGGTCCAGTTCTCACCTGCACATGTGTAGGTGTGCGCGCGCACACACACCCAGATTATGTATGTGTTATTCATGTGAAACTACACTCCAAAGTCATCCCGTGTGTTGCAGTATTTTCTAGGCTTTCTCTGCTGCTACACTGTGTATGTGTGGTGCTGGGGATGGAACCCAGGGTCTCGTGCCTCCTGGGCCAGTGCTCCACGCCTGAGCCTCGTCTTCAGTCACTTTTTATTTTTTCACCTTGAGACAGGATCTCACAATTTCCCAGGCTGGTCTAGAGCTAGGCATTCTCTTGCCTCAGCTTCCCTAGGGTCTAGGATCACACGCGTGGGCCACTGTGCTTGGCTCCTGTTTCATTCTGTAACGCTGCCAGCAGCCCACCTCTCTCACCTCACACCCTCGGAGCAGGGCCTGGGCCTCCCATGTTCGAGGCGCCGCGGAGAGTTGTGTGCCCTTCGTGTATTGTCCTGTGCTGCTGGAAAAGAGCATGAGGAAGACTTACTTTGATTTGGAAGTCAGAGAAGTCCCCTGCTGAAGTGGGCCTGGAGCCGGATCCAGATGTGTGATAAGATTTCAGCGCGTGGCAGAGAAAAGAAGCCGATCACAGCCTCGGCAGGAGCAAAGGCCGGAGATGCCTGGCATGTGAGCCGCACTCCCTGCATTGTCATTTATTTAGTCCACAGCCTTTCTGGGACACCAGACCCCTTTATATCTTCATGTTATGAGTTGGAGTGTTTCTGGAGTAGTTAATGCCCAAGAAAAACATTCAGGTCAGAAACACAGGAAGATCCACTAGGTAGAGTTGCACAGGTTGCACACTGCACAAAGGCACCGAGTCGATGGACTGCTCACCTGGACATAAGCTCTGACCTGCACCTGCAGCTATCAGAAGAAGAGGGACCATTTTCTGTCCTCCCAAGTGCCCTGTGGGCTGGGCTGGCCCTGACTCCGTGGGAGGGGTGACTAGAGGGTCTGCAGAGGTGACCCCACAGAGGCCACACGGCACCAGCGGTTTGCACTTGGGCAGCCCCAGCTTGGATTGTCACGGTAAGTGGGAGGCCCCGAAACAAGGGTGCAGCCTGGACTGGGACAGGAGGGGTGGCGTCCGTGGGGGGCTTCACGGTGCGTGTGATGGGGATGGGGGACCGCAGATGGGTCAGCAATGGTAGCAGCCTTCGTGGGGCCAGATCCCAAGGCTCAGGGGAGGCCGAGGAAGGAGATCAGGACTCAGTCCCTGTGGCCCCGACTTCAGTTCTTGCAGCAGCAGTGCGTGTGCACGTGTGTGTGTGCACGTGTGTGTGCATGTGTGTGTGCATGCACGCGCGCACACATGACATCTAAATAGACATCCAGAGGCCCTGCCTCCCTCCCCCAACTCCCGAGGGCACCGCTCGGGTGCCAGCATTGCTGTGAGGTTGGCAGGGAAGAAGGACACCGCTTCCCAGCAGGTGCCGTGCTAGGCATTTTTCGTGCATTGCCCGTCCTCCCTCCAGCCCTCTTCTTTGCGGGATCTGCTGGAAGGCAGCATTCGGCGAACAGGAAGAAAGCAGGGAGGAGATCTCTGGAGGCTCAGGGCAGGAGGTGCCTTGGAGGGCAGCTAGGCGGCAACAACTCATTTCGGAGCTGCAAGGACAGCGTCCTCCACCCACCCCCGGGAGCCCTGCTGAGCAGCCAGAGAAACCCTGGAGATGAAGTGGGAGCCTGGTGGACTGTGTGGCCTCAGGGCCCCCTTGTCCTCTCCAGGTTCTTGACTGGAAACAGAGATAGCGTGGGGATACGCCATGGCGGTGTCCAAATGTCACATACCTGCTACCCTCTTCCTCTTCTTTATTTTTTATCAGTTAGAATGCATGTGTCTGCAAGTAACATAAAAACCCAAATAAGAAGGACTCAAACAATAGTAGAGGTGTTTCAATGGAACCATAGCCACCTGGAGGAAGAGGATCCTACATTTGATTTAGTGCCTTCGCAGTGTCTCCAAAGACCGGAGCTTTTTCTCTCCCTTTCATCTCCATTCTCATCATATTGGCTTTTTGGTTTGGAGCTTGTCACCTCCTGGCCTCCAAGTGATTGCCACAACTCCAAGCCTTACGTCCTCAAATGCAGACAAAGGCAGGAAGCAGTGCATTAGATACTTTGCCGAAAAAGAACCTTTCTCGGATCTTTCTTTTTTTGTTAATAAGAAAACAATCTTTCCCAGAAGGACCCCTCACCCCAGAAGGCTTCCTCTCCTGTCTCATCGGTAGCCCTGGGTCATGGGACCTCTCCTATGTGTAAGGGCAGCTAGGACAGTGATTGGTGGGCAGTCGGGGGTGGGAGTGCTTCCTGGGTGGCCAATGAGCAACAGCCACCACACTTCCCTCTTCCATGTGTTTGTCCCCCTGCTTCCAGGCAAGATCTGCAGCTGTGCCACCTCCCCAAAGCCAGCCTTGTGCCAAGCAGTCCGTCTTAGCCATGTGTGTGCACTGGGCTCCCTGAGAGAGTCTGGAAAGGACACTGCTCCTCCCACATCCACAGGTGAGAACCTGGCTCCAAAGTGATGGACTTGCCCGGGGTCTACACCATGCACACCCAGTAGGTGAAGTGCTGGCATGTAGACCCAGACAGCTCTGACTTTAGGGTCCCAATCTTTGCAGCCCTGGAGGTGGCAGTGCCCGGCCTATGGCCCTGAGCAACAGTGCAGCCCGGTGTGGTCAGGAGCACCCATCAGGCCCCCATTGCTAATGGGAACTGGGCCGAGGACAGCCTTTTCTCAACAAGCCCGGCTCTTAAGGCTTTTGTGCGGCTGCAGAGTCCTACTTGGGCTGTCAGAGCCGGATTTGTTTGAATTCCTCTTCAGTGGTCCTAACCCTCTCTGAATGGATACCATTCAGGAGAAGAAAGGCGAGGTCACACTTAGTAAATGCAGAAGAGCCACACACTACTGTGTTTTAAATTACACTTTTCTCCAGCCTCTTCTCCTCTCCCTTTGCACAGCTGCTGGCTTCCGCCTCGGCCACCTTGCCGGGCTCCATGCGTATAAAGTTGAACCTTGCGGAGTGCGGGTCACTCCCACCTGTGGGGCTCCGTCACAGCCCCCAGATGGGACCGGGGCCCTCGTGAGTGGGGAACTGAGGCCGTCAGAGGGGCCACATTGGCCAAAGCTACAGGAAGAACAGCCTTCCCTTTGCAGGGACCTAAATCCTTTCCTGAGATGATTATCAGAGCGGGCTGCAAACCACAGTGCTTTTATTTGCTCACTAACTTGAATTCATCAAAAGGTACCTGCTCCAGTTTCTAGACCCTCAGCTGGCAAGGCCCCTTGAATTGTTTCCAAAGTCCTGGAGGAAACTGTTACTCCACACACACATGCACACACACACGGTACCCCTGGGGACAGGAGGTGGGCAGTGCAGAGAGTTTATCTCCAAGTGAGCTCCGTCCTGTGGCCTGGATCCGCTCCTGTCAGCAAGCGCTGTCCTGTAGACACCAGAGGTCGCCAGCAGTGGAGAGAGCCTCAGCCTTTCCACCATAACTGTGGCCCTGCGGGGCCCTGGCTTGGGGCCACTTGGAAATGGAGCCCTGGAGGGCTCTGAGCGGATCCCACGTCATACCGAGGGTCAGGAGGGCATTTCACAGCCAGGTCCCTTGGTGGTGGCCGTGGGACCTGGCCTCTCCCCAGCTCAGCCTTTAGCCTCAGCCATGGAACAACCTTTGTAAAATGTTGCTCGGCCTCGGGGACCAAGAGGCCAGGGTATCATGGAGGAGAATGGGAGAAACAGAGGCTGGAGTGGAAAGAGAACTGGGCTGAAGCAGAAATGCAGGGCTGAATCCCAGCCTTTATTTCGCACTTACTGTGTGCGTGGAGCAGCCCCTTGACCTAGCACCTTTACACACGTGCCATGGGATCGCCCAGAGCTCTCTGGAAGATACAAGTGGATCCGCGTAAGAACTGCAGAGCAGCGCATTCGCACACTAGCATTTCACTGACGCCGCAAACCATCCTAGGAAGATGTGATGATGTCCATTTCACAGATGGAGAAACGGGACTCAGGTAGAGGGGCACGTGAAAGGTCGTGGAGCTACAGCCTAGGGGCACGGTGACTCTTTGCCCAGTTCTGGGACCTGTAGCTTCTGCAACCCCGGGCAACTGGCTCGAAATGCATATTTCCGGTCACTGCCCACATGCTGACCGTGGGGATGCTGGTGCTTTCAGAAACATTGCATCTGAAGGTTTCTCTAGGTTAACACAGATGCAGGTCTCATGGGATCCTGTTATTCGGTGGAGTCCAGTCCAGAGCAGAGTGGGCCAGGGAATTGGCATTTCTAACACATCCCCCGATGGGGCTAGCAGATATCGTCGGTCTGCAGACAGTGGCTTCTGTGGCAAAGATCACACACCAGAGTTTCCTGGGGCTTGGTTAAAATGCAGAGTCCCTGGCCTCTTCCAAAGAGTGAGCTACTGCAGGCCTGGAGTGGGGCCCAAGAACCTGCATTTCCACAGCCGTCTGTGCTGCTTCTGTGGCGAGTGTCTTGGCGTCACCCCAGGATCCCTCTTCCCAAGCCCCAGCGTGGACCCGCCGCCCCAGCTTCCTTTCACAGGTTTCGCGTCCCGTAGCCCTCAACCACCCATGTAATCTCCCACCAGCAGAGGAAGGGGCGTGAGGGGGAGACCATCTCTGAGCCTCCGCTCCTAAAATAAACCAGGAGTCTGGCGCACACCAGGCTAGGGCTGCGAATAGAAGCCTCCGCTCAGCCTGTGCTGGGAGCATAGGCCTCAGAAGCCCTCAGAAGGGCACTTCTGGGAGGCAGCCTGCAAAGGAGACCAGACTGGGTGTCAGGGGCCCTTCGATCTGAGGGCCTTGGGCTGTAGTGAAAGCTGGACTCCGGTGGCCCTTGAGCCTCTGCTGCAGTCTGCTGCAGTTCCACGCACCACAGGGAAGGGGGATCCTGTCCTGCAGATATGCTAAAGGACAAGGCTTGTGATCAGGGGCACTAAGGGGCCTTGAGGGGCTTTTAGTGGGGAAGCTGGGGTTGCTCTTCCTTCTCCCCACTCTCCTGCATTTGGTAAATATTCACCTACTGGGGGACACAACAAAGGCAGCCCCTGCCCCCCAGAACAGCCAGCGTAGTTGAAGAACAGGCAAGAAAATCGAGTCTGATGTCAGACCTGGGTTCCCAGCCCCTTCTAAGTGGCCTTGGACAGCCCGGCCCATCTGGAAATGGGGATCATAACTGTATCTAACCCTTGGGATATTAAGGATTCTGGGGATGTGATGGCAGGAGATTGAGGCCTTCCCCTGCTCGTAATGTGAGTTCTGCGATGATGTTACCAGTGGTGTGAGTCCTGGGAGCCCAGTGCAGGAAAGGCTTCCCAGCCTGGCCACCTTGGGCATTGGTAGCTGTGCTCCAGGGGCTGAGGCAGAGCCCTGCAGCCTCCTCCAGGGCTGGGAAGGCTGCAGGGACACAGGGCCAGAGACAAGGCTAGGTCTGATTTTGTATATGGTTTGGTGGCTGGTCTGTCCCTCCCATCACACTGCAGACTGCAGGAAGTTGCCATCCTAGGTGCCCACTCCTGCTTGGCTCTCATTGGCTCCCTACGGCTCGGAGGAGACGGGATGGAGCTGGGCAGAGGGGGCATTCGGTTCCATGGTCAGGGAGAAGCATGTGCATTGGCAGGAGTTAGAAATTGAGTGGGGTCACCCCACTTTGTGGCCTTCCATGGTCACTTCACGTCCCGGTCAGCAGTTGCCAGGTGTGAAGGTCAGGGTTATTCTCTTTCAGGTGGTGACTTTGGGGCTTCCTGAGGATCTGCCAGTGTTCCAAATGGAACACTCCAAAGCTGCAGAAATGCTGTCACCACCCAATATGGTGGCCACTCGACACGCAGGCTGTCAAGCCCTTGAAGTGTGCTTAGTCTAACCAAGGAGCTAATCTGTCATTTGATTTAATTGTAGTTCATCTGAATTTAAATGGCCGCCTGCCATGTGTGGCTACTGAGGGGACACAGAAAAGCTTTCTCCTCCCTGTGGTGCAGAATGGCGGAGCTGGGATCCAGGTTCAAGTCTCCATCGCCCACACCCCATGTGGTTCTGGGCCATGGACACCTTTGGGACTCTGGGGAACGCTGCGTTCATAGGTGACAATGACCACCTGTTTACACCGCCTCCCATTGCCCCTCTCTTGGCCTCTGACCTCTACCTCTTTTTCTGTCACCTGGTTACCTCTGCTGTTTGACTCACCTACAAATTCAGGGATGGCACATGGTGCTTTGAAATTGCCCCACCCCAGCGCGCCATTGACCGAGGCCCTCTCGGGTGCATTCTTTGCATTTTTACTATGCACCAAAAGCTGTTTCTGGCACGGTGGACTTGGTGCTGTGGACTTGGTGCTGCCCGAGGGCCAGGAACCCAACAGTACCCACCTGGGGCTGACCTTCCAGGGTGAGGAGACCAGACAGGGAGAGCAGGGACCTGGCTGCTTATGACATGTGGCTATGACACGTGGCTGTGATGAGGGTATCGCGGTACCGCCTAGGGACCTGGGGACTCTGCCCAAGTGGACCTGCTGAGGTGTGCTCAGGAGGCCAGTGTAGGTGACCTGGCCACGGGGCCCGCTGAGGCCACTGCCACGCCCAGGCCTGCAGTGGATGGGGCCTCAGTCATCTTCTGGCACCTGGGCCGCCCTAAAATGGGCTGTGCAAAGTCAGCCCCTCCTGGCCCTGTAGGACCCCCAAGCCCCAAACCCAGCGGATTCACCCCAGAGCGCCAGAGAGAGAGCACACGGTGGTCCAGCTCCTCTGGGCTAGGAGCTTCGGGAGCAGCTGTGCTTCTTCGTGCCAGGGGTTGTCAAACTGGGGTGGAAACAGCCCTGGGTTTTCCTGGCTGACACATTGAGGGTCTGAGTGATATTTAGGGAAGGTGATTTTCTGCTAAGAGCGAGATCAACGTCCTCCACATCATGGAGGTGGAAGTAAAAGCTTAGATCTCCAGGAATTACGGCCTCGGCTGGCAGGTGGCTGAGGATTCCAGGCAGGTTTGTTTCTTTTCCCTCCCTGTGTCCCTGTGTCCCTCCTACGTGGCCCATTTTCCTGGCTCAGCGATGGAGTAGGGTGCGGAACCTGCTCTTGTTCTCGGATCCGGGGTGCCCTCGGTGGTTGGGAAGGAGTTGTCCGTGATGGTGACGCCCATGCTTTCCATGTCTCACCGTTTGTGGAGCCCCTGTCCCCGGGTCCTCATGTTCCTTCCTCCTACAGGTCCCAGGAACCAAGTGCGTGGACATCTGCATTTCAGGGAAGGGCACACTACCCTGGCAAAGGGAGGTGGCTTGTCCCGGGGCACACAGCTGGTGACCAGACCTCAGAACCTGCCAGGCTTTCTGCAGTGGCACCTATTTGGGTGGCTCTCCCAGGGGACCGCCACCCGCAGCCACCAGAGCAGATCCAAGAAGCCCCTGGGGCTCCTCCCAGCCCTGTGGCAGGACAGACTTAGACTCAAGCGGTCCCTCACCTGAGCCAAAGCTGGAAAAAAAGCCCAACTGCCTGTGTATGTTTTGTGTTCCAGTGAAAGAACTAAATTTTCATTATCCTCATCTAGAAAACGCTCCCGCTGGCCACAATAAATCATCTTCGAGAGCCGAGGACAGGATGCAATTTGCTTCCGCGTGGAGTGCACATAGTAATTAGCTCAGAGGGGGAAGAAAAGCCAGCTTCTATTTCTTGAGAGTCTACAAGGACCACTCGGCTGAGAAATGAGTGCTTCTTCCTTCCGGGCCCTTCTCAGAGGGAGACCGGCTGGCTGGGGCCCAGGGAGAGGCCACCAGGGAGTCGTCCCTGCAGCTGCGCACATCCAGAGGCCAGGGTTCTCTCTGCCTCTTTCTGACCCTCGCTGCGGCCCAGCCCAGCCTGCTCCTCCCCTGGGCCAAGCCTGACTCCGAAGTCATAACCTTGCCCTCACAGGAAGGGGAGAGGGGAGGACCAGTGTTTGGCAAATGACCAGTCTTGGCCGTCCTAGGCCAGACACCTTGCCAGGCACTTGACAGTGGTCTGCTTCATTGTATCCCGAGAACTGGGGGTCATTCGCACTAACAAATAAGGAAATGGATGCTAAGAGAGGGCGAGTAACTACTCTAAATTTACACAGCACACAAGTGGAAGGGCCAAGGTAGAAACTTGAGCATTTCTTATCTGACTCCCCAGACCCTGCTTGCTACAATTTCCATACCCTTACCTGCCGTGCCCTGATTTAGAGAGCAAACAGAGAGACCTAAGACTCTGGGTGTAGAGGCTGAAGGAAGAAAAGATGCTCGAAAGAATGGCAGGCTGAGTGAAAAGGTGTTGGCTGAAATATCGGCTCTGCTCATTAGGCAGGTGTGAGCCCGGGCAGGTCTTGCAACCCCTCTGAGCTTCCAGTTATCCTCTGGAGGGTAAAATCTTGTCAGTGGGACCCCATAGTGCGTGTCTAGTTCTGCCCAGCGGGCAACCAGGGAGTTGAGTGGAGGAAACTGTGGGTGTGGTGTGTGGGCCACAGCCCCATTTTGGAGGTTGCTCTGCAGGCAGGGGTGGGGAGCATCAGCCTGAAAATGAAACTCAAAGGCTCTGGGAGTGGAGTCCCTGTCCTGGGGTGAGGTTCCCGAGGGAGGTGCCTCTGAGCTGTGCCGAGAGGGCATCTAGCCAGTGACACCCTGGGGCTCCTGCTCTTGGGGATTCCTGGGCCAGGCCGCGGTAGGCAGGGGCTGTGCAGGGACCGGAAGTCAGATGCCCTGGGCACTTACTATAACCAGAGAGAGAAAACAGACAGACCTACAGCTTCAATCCGTGAGGCATCGCGCAGCTCTGGGAAGACCTAGAAGGTGGCAGTCGCCATGTGGGAGCTGTGGTCATTCTGGGTCACGTAACCCACTTAGGGGGTTGGGTTCATAGAGGAGGAGGGTGCCCATGTAGGGTGGGTAGAACCAGGATGCACTCTCTGACCCCAGTGCCTGTCTCTGTCACCACAGGGGCTCCCCGATAAAGCTCAGAAATGCTATGGTCGTGGGCTGGACCACTGAGTTCTGTCCCTTTTTCCCTGTGGGCCTGGGGCCAGAGGTATTCACCAAAATCCTGAAGTCGTCCAGGGATGGGAAGCTCACTGCCTCCCTTTTCCACCTCCGGTGGCTCTGACTGTTAGGAAAGGCCTTCCCTTGGAGGAGCTTGTGCTCATCAGTCCTGAAAGATGTATCTGGAGGTGTAGGCAGAGCTCCCACTTGCAGCCTGGGAGTGGTCTCCTCTGACACACTGGGAGGAGTCTCTTGCTCCCCACCCCTGACCTCAGATGAGCTCGGGCAAGAAGCAGGTCTCTTGTGCATGGGAACTGACCTGTCCCCCAAGCCCCCACCCTGCGTCCTCCACCCTCCAGGACAAACTGTGGAGACTGGCCAGTGTCCCCTCTCTGTCACCAGCCCAGTCAAGGGATTATTCACACATTCCCCTCCCCTTAACTTTCTCACTCTTTGTCAGCTGGGTGTGGTGGCGCACGCCTGTAATCACAGCACTTGAGAGGCTGAGGCAGGAGGCTCACCTTGAGTTGGAGGCCAGCCTGGGCTCCACAGTGAGTTCAAGGCCAGCGTGAGCTATACATTGAGACCCTGTCTGAAAAAACAAAAAAATAGACAAGAGCAGAAGATTTGAGTGTTCTGGATTGAAAGAGGCAAGAGAGAGGCTGTGACCCCCAATGTAACACACGAGCCTTGTGTTGAATCCTAGTCAAATTTTGGTTCAGACACTGAAATAGCTGTGAAAGACACTTTGGGGACATTGAAGCACGCCTGGGTGGCAGATGGTCTGGAGGAATCGTCGTCACCTTTCTTAGACATGATCATGGCGACGAATTAATGTGGGAGACGGCGTTCTTTTGTAGGAAATGCATGTGGTGTGATAAGAAGGCAGGAATCGTGATTTTTGCAAATTCCTTTGCAGTAATTTCACAGATGAAGGAAGAAAGAGAGGGGTTTGGGGAGATGGTGAGGGGGACAGAGGGGCAGGAGCAGTGAGTGGATGCCAGACAGGCCAAAGGCCCTGGGTCCCCGGCCTCCCTGCTGACCCTTCCAAGGCCCAGCAGAGGAAGTGGTCTCCTGAGCAGCCCCAGTTTGCAGGGTGCCTGCCCTTGGGACGAATCTCCCCGTCCTCCCAGAAGCGGGCCTGCTCCTTCTAGACCTGCCTGGGCCCATCCCGGGTTGGGGCTGGGGTTTCTCAGGGGGACAGCATGGCTGTGAATGCCGCATCCAGCCCAGGGGTGCCCACTGGGCTGCGGGGACATCAGTGAGATGGGTGAAGGATGGCAGGGGCGTTTGCCACAGGCACCTTTGCTGCAGCTGGACCCTGGGGACTGGGGGCTGGAGGTGGTGGGGAGGGGCAGGAAAGGGAGAGGAAGGGGCAGTGGCTGGAGGTGAAAGGACAGAGTCAGGGAGGACAGATACAGTCTGGGCCACCCGGGTAAATGCAGGTGTTTTGCAGGGGTGCGGGAGAGCCTCAGGGCAGCTTCCCTTCAGGCCCTGGTGGGCAGCTGTTGTCACCTCCTCTACATAGGTGCTGGTGGAGGAGGCACAGAGACGTGAAGTAGCTTGCCTAGGTCACACAGCTCGTCTGCAGCGGGGGTGGGACATGACTGCCAGTTTGTGTAGCTCCTGCTCAGTGTGAGTGACCCGAGAAGTAGCTCCCGCCTGGGCAGAGCTCTGAGGCCTATAGAGACTCTGGGAGGGGCCTGGGTGGGCAGTGTTGGTGCTGGGGAGAGAATTTATTGTCCCCAACTGCCAGACATAGTTATGTGAGATCTGTCATTAGGCAGGGTACCTGGCTGGGCTCCCTCAGCCTCCAGGATCCAGAAAGAGCACAGAGTTCAGTGCTGCTCACAAGGCCCTGCTGCTGTCACTTCCTGTGGTCACAGAATGGAGTCCCACCCGGGAAGGGAGACCTGGGGCGAGGTGTGTGATAGGAGCCCAGTGAGGTGCTGGCAATATGAGGTTCTATAGAAGCTCCCAGGGCCCTGAAGGCCACCTGGCCTCTGGCCAGAGGGGAAGGAAAACCACTCCAGAGCAACAGGCACCACCGGGAAGCAAGGGTTGGAAGGAGCAACTGCTTTCCTGTGGCAACTGTGGCTTCTAGAATGTTCCACTGGGACCAGAGTGTGTCCCAGAATCTTCCTCTGATTGAACTTTTGCCAGGTCCCCAAGCCACTCATAGTATATTTATCTTCTTTCTTTCTTCTTCCATTTATCTTTGTTTTGTTTTGTTTTTTGAGACAGGGTCTTGCTATGTAGTTCAGGCTGGGCTTGAACTCACTCTGTAGCCCTGGCTGACCTCAGGCTCACATTGACCTTGCTCCCTACATCAGCCTCTGGGGTGCTGGAATTAGAGGCGTGTGCAGCCACACTCAGCATACTTTTCTTTGAATTGATTAGCTTTTTAAAAACGATTAGTCTTATTAACTGATAGTGTCTGTGAAATCGTGGATTTGGTGTGCACATTGTTTTTCTAATGAAAATTAAAATAAACACACAACTACTAAAATTAAAAACATTATCTACTACTAAAATTAAAAACATAAAGGCGCCCCGAGTGACCACCTGGGTTTCGGAGACCTGTGGTGCCATCCTCCTGAGGGGCCGAGTGGGCAGGGCTGGCCTGCGGTCACATGGTCCTCAGTGGTGCACCAGGCTCTGTCCAGGGCCCAGCATGACTTAATCCAGAGGTCGTGGGCAGAAAAGCCATGGGAAAGTCGTTTAGTCTCTGTGCAGGTGACGTCGGCAGCAGTGGAGATACCGGTGACAGTGATGGCAGTGATGTAGGGCTGAGCTTCTGGGGGCGAGTGAAGCTCTACCAGAATCAGAGGCAGAGATAACAATGGGTGGTAGCCTGCTCCCTTGCTCACAGAGGGACACCCTTGTCCCTGTCCCTGATGTTGGCATTGTTCTTCATCTGCGCGCGCGCGCGCGCACGCACGCGCACACACACGCGCGCACACGCACACACACACACACACACACACACACACACACACACACACACACCCCGCCCGCACCTCTTGTACTGAGCACACATTGTCCTGGAGTGGTCAGTTTGTCTATCACACGGCTCATTCCTTGGAAGTGAAAGGACCCTGTGATCTTTCCGGAAGGGAGGTTGGCGTGGCCACCAAAGCAGGAAATGTATGAATGCCCTTGTGCCAGTCTCTGTCCTGCAGGATCTTATTAGAGTCAGTCCTGTAGCACGGGCTGGGCACAGAGTGGGCCTGAGTTCTGCAGGCCCTGTCCTGACCCTTTGCCCTCGCCCTGGCTTCCTCATCTGTGTCCTGGAGGAGCAGCCCTGGCCCCAGTGCCCAGGCTCCTGGGGCAGTTGCCACCCCACCTGACTCTGTCTCTCTGGCCCTCAGATGTCCTGGCGTCCGCAGTACCGCAGTTCCAAGTTCCGGAACGTCTATGGCAAGGTGGCCAACCGGGAGCACTGCTTTGACGGGATCCCCATCACCAAAAATGTGCACGACAACCACTTCTGTGCCGTCAATGCCCGCTTCCTGGCCATCGTCACGGAGAGCGCGGGAGGCGGCTCCTTCCTTGTCATCCCCCTGGAGCAGGTAGGTGGCCCTGGGGCTTTGTGAGCGTCCGTGGAGCAAGGGAGGCCCCCACTTCCAAGAGACCTGAGGTCTCTTTCCAGCATCCCCAGCGGGTGGGGGGCTCTCGGACAAGTCACTGTCATCCCCACAGCACGCTGGAAAGCGCCTGTCTCCAAGATCAAGTCCAGCTCTGCAGTTCCTCATCCTAGTCTTTCATTTTGGAGCTGGAAGGATGAAGACCCAGCCATGGGTACCCTGGGCACCTGCCAAGGTGGCAGAATTGCAAATTTGTGGCGTCCCCCACTCTGAGGCTGGCAGTCACGACCTTCTCCCTCACCCCCCACCCACCTCCCTGAAGGTTTTCCACCCTCAGTTGCTGCTTGTGTGGATCCAGCAGATTAAATCTGCACAGCCCAGATCGTGCCATTTTTCAGCTGAGCCCCAGGGGAGGTCACATGCTCCAGCAGAGGGAGGTCGATCCCACTTGTTTATAGCTGAGTTCTCCCTGCCTCGTCTGACTCAGCCCACGCCCATCCTCCGCCCAGCCGCTCTGGGAGGGGTGTGGGTGGAAGGGACCCTGGGTCCCTGAGATGCACTGTCAGGGCCGATGCAGGGGCATTTTCCAGCCTGTCCTCCCCACAGTGGGGACACAGAGATGGGAAAATCTTAGGCCAGGTGGCCCTTCCCACCAGAGGGACAGCGGTGTGACCCAAGGACAGAGTCTGATATTGAGAGGTCTGACTTGCAGGCAGGATGTCTGGATTGGGCCACTCACCACCCTGGGAACCCTGGACTTCTCATCCCATCTCTCTGGCCCTTATTTCCCTGCAGTGGTAGTGGGATCATAAAGGCTCCTCGGCCTGCATCTGCCACAGTGACCTCAGGAGGGAAGGGACGTGAGAGCCACTTACAGGTCGCACACATGGGAAGGTGTCCAGTCACTTTCTTGGAGAGGTTGTCAGCTGTACTCTGAACTTTTGAAATGTAGCTCGCCTCCCCTCCTGAGCCAGATGGGCCTAGGTCTCTGCATGCTCATAGTGGCTCGGTTGCATGCATCTGCCAGGCCTCCAGGTCCCCCAGAAGTGGTGGGCTGGCTCTTATTGGGGTGCAAGCCCATGGCCAGTGCCCTGCCTTATTGCACTTTATGGCTCCCAAGTTGACAGCCAGTGCCTCACCTCAGAACAAAAGCTAATCCAAGATGGACTGAAGATCTATGAAAAAGAAAACCTGCTAGTGTTTTAGAGGTAAATGGAGAGCATTTAAAATATCACACCAATGTGGAAAAGCTTGTGAAATAGGACAAGACTCCCCCAATCAAGGAAATGATTAAAAAATTAGAATAAAGTTTTCCAATTATTAAGTTTCCAAACTAGAATGGGACACCTAAGCAGAGTTAAAAGGTGAGCAAGACACTTGAGCACAATGTTTGCAGTATATAACAGATGAAAGCTTTGTGTCCGGAATGCATAGAGTTCCAGAAGAGTCAAGAAGAACCTCCCAAAATGGACAAAAGATACACATAAGGGATTCACAGGAAACAAAATATATTGCTTAACCTAAGTAGTCAGAAGAAGTTTAAGAGTATAATCTTCAGTATCGCTGAGAGAGAGAGAGAGAGGGTGTTGGGGGGGGGAGTGCGTGAGCGCACAGTGACATGTAAATGAGGTGACTTGGTGACAACAGTTACAGATATGTGTGCAGGAACTGGGGCTCCAGCTCCGTGGGAGAGCACTGGGAGGCCCCCTGAGGCATTTGTCCAGTGGCTGGCCGGTCCCACTTCCCAAGTCTGTCCTCCAGAGCTGTTCCAAGTCTGTGTATAAAACTGCAGTCCTTTGTTGGGTGTGGGGTGTGATTCCAGCACTAGGGAGGATGAGGCAGATTGTGGGTTCGAGGCCATCCTGAGCTACCTGGCAAGGCCCTGTCTCACAATCAAAAACAGTGCAGCATTTTTTAGTATTTGACTTTTCTCTTTTTTTGGTACCGAGGATTGAACTCGGGACCTTGTGCTTGTGAGGCAGGTGGCAGCACCCCTGAGGTAAATCCCTGGCCCAGTATTTGACTTTTTAAAACAAACCTCAAGTTTTGAAATTATTTTGAACAGAAATTGAGTTCCTTAAGTTTCCAACCCTCCCAGTTTCTCCGAGGGTAGTGGAAGAGTTGTGTTGTCAGTAACCCTGGTGTACACTATGACAGGGTTTTGCAAGCACTTCACATACGGCAAAAAGAAAGCACTCCTTACGGGGTCAGTCGCTCTGTACCCACGGGACGTTCCTGGTACGTACGGATGCAGGTACAGTTCCCGTGTGCTTCCAGCTGCACCGGTCCACACTCCCTGACTCAGTCTGTGCGATGTGATTCCCCTCGAAAGTGATGGCCTCCACTAGTTCGTCTCTGCTTTCTCTCGTGGCAAGAAGTCTTCAGTTTATCCAAGAACTCAGTGAGCTGTGCCGCTGCTTTACAGAAGTGAAAAGTTGGAAAGCACCCACAGGTCCACCAACAAAGGGTCCAGCGGACAAGTGAGGGGGCGTCCCGGAAAGGGGTCCCGTGCAGTCATTGAAACTAATCCTGCGGAGCAGGTGCCCCAAACCACCAGCCTCGGCCTCTCTTTCCCCTCTTCAGTCTGTTAAAGATCTAAAATTTAAGTTTTAGTTCTAGGGGCCAAAGCTATCGACATTTAGCATATTCAAAATAAAAATGAAAGAATCTGAAAAATATGTATTTATTAATTCACTTGAAATAATAAATACATTTCATGTTCTCTGTTCTCCCAGCAAACATATATATATGTATGTATATGTATGTATATATGTATGTATATATATGTATGTATATATGTATGTGTGTGTGTGTGTGTGTGTATATATAT